AAAAAAAAAAAAAAAAAAGGGGGAGAAAAAAAATGGAGAAAACAGAGGAAAGGTATAGTTACAGTGACGGTTAGTGACCCCTCGGTAGTGTCAGTGACGGCGCGGAGCCGCGACGCTCCGTTTCTCTCTCTCGTCCCCGAGATTGATTAAATTTACTCCGGAAGAGAGAGATAATACGGCAATTATTGCCCCGGCTTATTCACGCGCCGCGCACAAAGGCCGCGCTGTGCGTCTCTCCCGACAGTCCCGACGCGACGACGACGGTCCATTGGGAAAAATTCCGCAGGAGACACGCAGTAACCAACAGAGGGCGGAGGGTGTGTATGCGTGTGTGTGTGTGTGTGTGTATGCACGCGTGTGTGCGTGTGGCGCATCTATTTGCGCTAGAGTGACACGATGTTTCCATCGTTCGCTCTTACTTGCGACGGGCGACGCGAAAACAATCGTGGAAAAATTATAATAATAATAATAATCATCATCGTGTTTGCCACCGTCGTCACCGCAGTCACCAGCCAGCCGGTCGAATTGCGACGCAGCGCGGCGACGATCGGTGTCATCGGTGATGACGGGGGCCGACCTTCGGACGATCAAACGCTCGTGTATACGCGAGCACGTACCTTTGCCGTGATGTTCGGACTATTGTGTGGATGCTGCGGCAGTGGTACGTCTCGGCGAGTACGCCCGAATGACGTTTCCCGATCGCTGTCATCCTGATCGCGCGGATCCGCGCTCCTCTTGTCGATAACGAGCGGCTTCCTGTATTGCTGATCGCTGCGCTCCGCAACGTGCAGCCGCCTCGCCTGGTCACCGTAACGCACACCGTAATTGCACTCCGTTAGCAGAACCAGATGGAGGATTAGCGCGAAGTAATAATAGAGGGCCGTACTCGACCGACCGGCCATCTTGCCCAAGACTGACTCCCCGGCTGTAGAAGCTGGTGTATTATACTTGAACCGTGAATGACGCGTTTACGCTAGACACGCCATTCGTGATTCGAACGGTCGAACGTACACGATGATGCGCGTGCAGGTGGCGCCACGCGTTTATTGAAAAAATTAAAAAATATGTAGATACATAATAAAAGAAATATTTGTGTTACAATTTTAATTCATTGAGTTAGAAATAATTATATCATTTACGAAGAAAATATACGAATAAAGGAAATATAAGCTTTCATGTGCCATGTAAAGTGACCTCTAAACAATCATAATACTATTACACAATATTATTGATCGTCTGAAGGCTATAATTATAAGTCTGTAGACTGTTTGTTTTGAATTTTTTAAAGGAAGCATCAATAATATATGTATACGAAGGAATGTTTAGAAGTCGCTTTTTATATTCTTTAAATAAAAAAAAGAAAATAAAAAGAAAACCGCGTGATCTCGTTTTTATACGCGACTCTTTTTGACGTTGAGTGTATTCATTTTTTTTCAACATTCTTCATTCTCTCTTACACAATAATTTACGTTCCGCGTATAAGAGAGAGAAAAATCCATCGCAAAAAAGATCAGTAACTCTTTTCCTTTTACATATTTCAAGTTCGATGTTAAACTGTTCGTTTTTTGTTATTATGTAAAATTTGCGTTTTGAAGAGAGAAAGAGAGAAAAGACAGAAAATTACAAACCGAATTTTTCATCACGAAAATTATAACGAATTAGCATAGCAATTGACGATGAACAAAGTTAGTTATAAAAATAAATGTAATTAAAATAGTTAAAAAGAATGAGTAATTCCATTTATTGCGCAATAAAATATGACTCACCGTCTACTTACAGTAGCGTCATTTGTAGATAAATATGGAATTTATGCACGTATACCGTCCAATTATTTGAATGCAAAATGAAAAGTGAAATAACTCAACTTTAATATCTCAAACTTATCGAGAATTTAATAAATGCTTATGTGTACCAAGATCTTAAACCTCTCCTTTTTACGAGAGAGAGAAAGAGAAATATGTTTCAATATAGAGTTGTAAATATAACACATATTGATTTAATTGCGTTTTATACTTTCTTAAATATGCTGATAAAAAAGATAACTTATATTATAAAAATTTTTTATATTTTTTATAAAAAATTCTGAAAGTATACCAAACTTGCGTTATACCAAACTTATTCTTCCATAAGTTTTCTACGAAGATTATAAAATAGAATATTTTTCAGAATTCACAAAATACCTATAAAGAATTTTAGAAAAAATGTTTCAATATTTTTTTTAACGTTTCTAATTTGTACTAAAAAAAAAGTCTAAAAAAGTTTCCAACAGTTGTACAGGAATTTTTGTTCTGAAATTTATAGATGCAGAATTATAAAAAATTCTATGAGATTCTAAAAAAATTTTCGCTAGAACGTATTTAACGTAACTGTTTAAGTTTATGAAGCGTACATAAAGCCAACATGTGCTAAATTATCAGATCCGGATCAATCCTGCGCGATCGATAACGACGAGGACAAAAAAATTATGAAAAAGATTCTCATCCTTGACGGACAGGCGACGGATGAACGGATCACCCGTCAGGTTCAGAGAGCGAGTGATTTTAATGACGACACGCAGATACAATAATAAAAGTATATTAGATAATGACATTCGCTCTCTTCCTCACTCTCGCTTCCTAGTTGAAAACGACATTGTTGGCGCGTCCACGTAGAATCATGCTCGCGTCGCAAAACGTGCAACGTGATCCAGACTCCGAAAGCACAGGGGAATATCAAAGCTTTTATTTAAGCTCTGATTACGCGCGTTCAAATTAGATAAAAGTTATTACATCCAACGGTTGCTTCACGCTAATTTAATTATCGAGCGATTTAATTAATCGTCGCTGCAGGCTGTTGACTTCTCACTTTCGTCATAAAAAGACCATTAAACTAGTTACGGACGTTAAGACAAAATGTCTCTTTATCTATATTGGATTACGACATCAACAAATTACATTATACGTGATTTATTTTAGAAGCATATGATTGACTTAGGAATACTCTAAGAGAACTTTTTCACACTAATTGACGTATAGAGTGACAACTTTAATTTATTGTAACGAGATTAATTTTTTTTTTTTAGAAATATAGGACACATATTGTAGATTCAATCTATTAATTTCTTCTCCTTTTAAAATTAGCTGAAACTGCGCTAAAAACTGATACTAAATAAATCGAATCGTTTATTGTTAACAATATGGTAAGTATATATCCGTAAAGAAAACTAACAGTAAATAATATTTCATCAATATTACAATTTTTCATTCAATATAAATGTTAATATAACATATGTTGCACAATATGGTTTCATTGTTCAATAAAAAATTATGCATTGATGTAATGTTACTGTTAGCTTTAAAGGTATAATATAGCAATCTGTAAAAAATATTACAGCGTACTTTTTGAGAAATGATGGGCTTTTTCTTTGACTTATTAATTATTTAAGCCAATGTAATAAACGCGTAATATAAGAGTTGAATATATTATATTAATATATTCTTTTAAAATGAAAATAATATTTGATCTTTCTTTCTTTGAGAGATCGAATTTAATTTCCATCACATTGATTAGGAAGACCTTAATAAAGGTCGAAATTAGTTTCAACTAAAGAGTACAGATTGAAATACACAGGAAATTTAATTAAAAAGTATTAAAAAGTATATAAAAAGAATAGCTACATTGCGTCGCACGGATACAATATAAACGATTGACAACACAGCATGGCCTAAAATTTTTGATATCACTGATTATTATTGATTATTTTATCTTGGCAGAATCGATTTCTAATTTCACCAAAAAATATTCTATTCTAAAAACGCGAAAAACAGCATAAACCTGCTTTAGACAGTATAATTTATATATTTAGAAATAGAAATCTAACATTCCTTTTTTATATCACGTGTGGCATATTTCAGATTCTTTTCATATTGTACATGAAATTATATTAGTTAAGATGCTTTCTAACAGAAATTGGGGATAAAAAATGTTTCAGTCTAGTAATTTCTTCTCTTTTTCAAATTAAAAATTTTTTGCTAAAAAAAATGATAATAAAATTATTAATAATAAAGTTACTAATATAGTAATAAAATTCAATGTCATATTTTGGATTTATCTTTATTGATGTAACGACAATGTAAATTCTGACTGCATATGTATATCACGATTTTTTTTTTATCTTTGCCTGACTTTATATGTATATAGCGATATTTAAATTCGATTTTGCGATTCATCATTACGAAAGATTCCAACACTGAGGGCCGAAACATTCAACATATGACTAAAACGCGTATTACCGGATTATCTCTATTGTATACATATTTTGTTGCGTATCGCTTGCGCATCTGTATGTTGGTTTATTACTCTTATTGCCTTCATCTGTCGCGACTGAAGAATATAATACTTCTGCAAAAATTCTGCATATGTTGCCGTTTCGTCTCCACTGCTGGCAACAACATCTTTTATTCAGTTGATTAAAATGCTACAGACCGTTTCGTGTTTCAAAAACAAAGATCAATTTCCTTTTTGAAATGGAGGAGTTCACTTGGGAACGATATCTTACCTTATTCACCACGAGACAAACAATCGATTAAGTGAAAAGCAAGAAGCGTACAAGCATTATATCGCATCACGATGGACGATTACGTTTATCAGTCTCTTATTTTTATGAATAATCTAAAACTTGTTCTTATTCCCTCTCATAAAAAATCGGAAAATTTTCCGTATTTTGCGCAAGAATTGTTCCACGAGTTTTAAGATTTAGACACAATGAAAAGTACAGACGTATACTGGAAAAAAAGATTTGTTGCATTCATTGGAATTCTGGTAGATTCAACTAGAAAAATCTAATAAATCTATCTCAAATATTCTAATCGAGATAATTAGAAATTCATACAACAAAATTCTGATTGACATAATCAGAATTCGTTTTGTTTGTACTTCTTGTTGATACAACTAGACCATTTTTATCAGTGTAGGAACAGGAAATAATACACAGGCGATATATTTCTATCTACCAGAAACTATATGTTTCAATCTACAGCAATTTCCGGTAGGTTGAATTTTGTGTTATTCCTCGTTCCTATTGCCTATGCTTTTTATCGTGTCTGGGGCCTTATTCCCGATAATTCGATAATTCGCGGTAGACGTAACTGGGGCGAAAATGTTATTGTGCGGCGTAGGTTCTTTTTTTTTTCTAAAGCCTCTCAGCTTCGCACGCCGCACGGGAATCGATACCATCGAAAATAGATATATCGTGTGCTGTGTTGCGCCGTCACGTGCCAACACGTGCTCCCGCGTTTGACATTTAACGCGAACCAATTTCGCAAACGCAACTTTGTAGCCGAGAGTTGTCACGTACCTATTATTGCAGTCGCGTATCTTGGCAAACCATTCGGAAAAAGCGGGATCCAGGTCGAACGAACGCATACGAACAAACAGCCTGCCTCAATGAGTGCGAACGACGCCGCGGTTGGAACAAATTCATTCACAAAAAAATGTTACGGTTGCCACAACCGGAAATAGATAATAATTTTCGCCCATCGATACATTTGATTGTGATAATCGTAAAATAGATATCTTAACCATTACGATATGTTATTTTACGGTTATCTCAATCGTATTATAGTTTTTATAACTAAAAATGTATTGATGAGCGACTTTTGATAACTGTTTTTTCCGTATTCGTTTAACAAGTAGAAAATATAATATATTCGATCAAAACAGATGCCTAATAATATTTTTATATAACTTTTTATAATATAATGTAATATATATTACAATTTTTATAATATATAATGTTTATATTATAATAAATTTTATTTCAGTTTAAACAAACTGCCGATTATTTGTTGATCTGGAAACGCAGCTTTAAAAGTTGAAGCTGAAGTACGCATAAATATTACAAATTAAATTGATAAATAATTTA